ATAGACGTCAATGAAGCACAAAGTCTCAAAATTCATTACAATAATCTTTGCGATATTTTGATCCAAGATCAGGGACCAGATATAAAAACTAATGGTGCGTTTTATTATTTATCCGCGTCGGAGTTCCGACTAGGAAGACGGACGTTGCCTAGCAACACGCACCAACACGCCCCCTTTCCTCGGATTTTCCTGCTCGGATTTCGGACAGCCGTGAGGACACTGAGCAAGAATTCTGATACGGAATCCAAGATGGCTGCGCCCTGTGTGACTTTTAGTATGAATTGTTAGGTGTTCAAGCACGAAGTGCTGAAAACCTATTGTAATTGCTATTTGAAAAAGAAAAAAAAAACCTAAAACGCATCGTGCAGCCCAAACCGTAAGCTCTAGAGACTTGAAACCTGGCCAGGTGGTAGGGCCTCAGTTTGGGGAGAACCTATCAGAGTATGACCCCGATTGGCCCATAGGTGGCGCTACAGCAACCAAAAGTACTAAATTGCTCATAACTACTAGACCGTTTGACCTAGAATCAAGCTTTTTACACCACTGTGTTCCTTGGCTCAAGACGTATATCTCGGATTCTCGATTTGAGCAAAAAAAAATTTGTTATGGCCAATTTTGTCCAAAACCTACTTTTGCGAACTAGTCCCTGGTTTTTTGCCTGATCGGAACCAGACCAGTCTAGGACAATTCTCTGGACTCTCTAGATCAATAATTATCAAAAAAAAGTTGAACTTTGCCCTTTAGTTCACTGTAACAGGGTCATTTAGAAAAGGGGGCGTGTCAAAATACACTCAAAAGCCTATAAATCATAAATAAAAACTCAGAACTTCACAAAAATTGATGAGCACATGTGTCATAACATGGTGAAGAAGCATGCAAAGTTTCATGGAGATCGGACCATAGGTGGCGCTATAACTGCCTGTATTGGCTGTAAATGGTGTTTTCCATCTATTATGTCAGTGTTTAAATGTATGCTAAATAAAACTTAATGTCTTTTGATGCTTTTGTGCTTAACGGCCTTAAAGGCCTTAACTGCTTGAACACCGCTAAATGCTGCTTGCAGCTTTAATTTTCATTGTTTTTGGACCGCTTTGGTTGTTTAAATGAAGATTTTAATCACTCGTATTACTGCAATACCTTACTGCGTCTGTATCACTGCCTGTGGGTATGGGAATCGGTCTTGTTGTGAGTGCAATAATGAATGAAGCCTTGTTTCAAACGGGTGTTACTAACGTGGCTAGCGTTGCTAACAGAATATAAACTAAAACATGAAATAAAGTGAAAATTTTAGAAGTTCAAATGGCTGAGTTTTGATAAGCGCCTGGTACTCGGACAGTGCTACCATAGCAACAGCTTTCCGGGTGGCTTCCATGTTTTTTCTCCGACTCGGACGCACAAAACATACCAGAACGCTTGAAGTGTGGAAATGGCGTCAAATCCGAGGGCCGAGTCGGTTCGTTGACAATAATAGAACGCACCATAAGACACTGTGTTAAGACTGTCTTGAAAACTAGCTTGACCAACTAGCAGCTAACCAAGGGGTAATTAGTCTAGCTTTTCCAATTCAATTCATACCAAAATACACTTTTACGTAACCGACTTTAAAAATGTAGGACCAGTCTCGAAGAAAAAGTATAGATGACTAACTTTAAAGACTAGTAGTCTAAGCAGTTTATGGACGAAGCAAGACAAACAAGTGTTTCACAGCTATAGTGTGTAGTTTAGCACAACTGAACAATTTATTGACCATCAATTAGCATCCTAGACCTGAACTGTCAATTTGATTTTATTTTATTTTGTATTGTAGGAAATTGATTCTCTCTTTAGGGTTTACATTAAATTAAAATTCTTCAAATATTTCACCCTAATGAAAATATATTAATAAAAAATAGTAATAGTTATTAATATTTTTTATTAATAATAATTAACAAAAATAATGTACTATTATTACTAATAATTCATAATAAAATCGTACAAAAGACACTTTAGTTTAGGGTCCAATTCTTAGGTTTAAGAATGACTTTTGCCTGAATAAACTCCTAATTACTGCTTATTAATAGTTAGTAAGGTAGTTGCTAAGTTTAGGTATTGGGTAGGATCAAGGGATGTGGAATATGGCCATGCAGAATAAGGCATTAATATGTGCTTTATACGTACTAATAAACAGCCAATATACTAATAATATGCATGCTATTAGTTAATAGTGAGAATTTGACCCTAAACTATTAACAAGAATGACTGCATGTTGAAAACTGTCATTATTATTTATCTTTTCATGGTTAACTAGTTATTTCATTCATAGTGAAAAATGTATTAAAATGTTATTGTTTACAAATTCTTTAGTTTAAATAACTTCTGTTGTCTGTTTATTTGTCTAGGTTAGTCTAACCTTTTAATGGTTACATTTGCATTATTTGCCGATTCATGTGGTGAATTGTGCTTTTGAATACTTCATTTATCAAGTTGTCATTTAAATAACCTTTGTTTTGTGTGTACTTCTCTAGGTGAGTGTACGGACAGAACCCACTACTGTCCTGTGGTAAAACGTCTCAAGCTTTGCCCTGTGGATCTGTACCGGCAACGCTGCTGCCAGACCTGCTCACAGGACACTAGCGCCACCTAGTGAGCACCAGAGGCGAAGCCCTTTTCAGTCACCGCACTGATTGTCTCTCGTAATACAGAATATTGTTTAAAATTGTGCAAACCCTTGGACACCTGGAGTGAATGGACTAAAAGATGTCTACTGGTGGCAGACGAGTGTTTTCTGGTCAACATTTCACTGGATGCTTTCCCACAATCATCAGAAGTCCAAAGAGAAAATCACTTGAGATTTGAGACTTGTCTCTCCACCGGCTCTCTTTGCAGATTTCATTTTATCTTGCCCTGAAAGTCATATTGTATGTGTATTAATTTAAGAGACATGCCTTTTTTCTTGTGGATATGGGAGGACAGTCTTATTGGACCATTCACCTATGTGAAGGAAATGAAAATAAAAGCATCTTGAGTATACATAATGCACTGATACTAATAATATCAGTTGTACACAGCTTGAAGTATTAAGAGAGACATTACCCCCCCCATACAAAAAAAAAAAACAATTTCAGAGGCAGAGCCCTACCTTAAAGTCAACATGAAATGCTGTCGCAACCCATTCTATTTATCCATTTGGACTTGTTTGGATGGTAAATAGATTCAGGTGGTCAGAGGGACGACGTTAAAGAAGTAAAAAGGATTTTGTGGAGTGCCTCTCAAATGGAAGGCTGCGCCCTAGTAAGGCTGCATATCATGCGCCATCAAAGGCCGTCACAATTTGAAGGATCCTTGGAAGGCAGCCTTCGTTCCGCGTCCTTCATTCAGCTCATTATGAAGGATGCATCAAGTGTATCCTTCACGTCCTTAAAACACCCACAATCCTTTGCGCACGTTCCAATTCACGAAAAAGAACTGATGGAAAACGAGTCGGCGAGTTCATTATGAAATGTAAGACAAAAATAATGTCTTCTGAGATGAATATTTTTCCAAAATTAAATTTTGGATTTCCGGATTTCCTCTTTCCGGATCACGCTTTGATGTTGGCTGGAAGTCGTCCCTAGGATGCAGCCTTCCATTTGAGAAGTGCCTGTGATGTCAGCCAAAAATAGGAAAATTCTTGCAGAGGGGTATATATATATTGCTATTTTGAATTGTCAACAATACATTTTGTATTGGATTACAGTAGCATGTTTTAAGAAAGTAAAAAAAAAAGGGTTCAATTTGTTTTCATGTTGACTTTATTATTAGAAAATGTGTTAATGTGGGCGTAGAATGTATGACAGAAAACCCGCTGACTGATTGAAATGGCATGTGCCATAAAAGTCACATTTCTCCAGCCGTCTTTTAGATGTACGTTTTGTGTTCAAACAAAGTGCTACATTGTAAAATATGTCTTGTATATAATGTGTTTTTAAGTGCAATATTGTACATTGAGTGTAGAAAGTTTGGATTTTATTTTCTTACATCTTGGTTTAGTTTGTCTATATTATCCATATTTAAGATTAAACGCAACACAGACGTACTTATAACACCTGAAGTGGATTTTCCATATCTCTAATATAATGGTTCCCTACTGGCCTTTATGCATGTATTTTAATTACATCAATAAATGTTGTACATAAGCCACTCACAGAATTTATCCATGAATTTAATCCATTGCATCTTATTGCTATGTGGAGAAAGCATCGCTATCGCTACATGACTCCATTGAGGAAGCACTAGTTTTGGTACTATTCATGTCAATATTGCAAACAGTCTATGTGATACAAATACAATAAAATACAGTTTTACCAATCACTTTATATATCTTCATAATTATTCTTCCCTTTGTATTCTATATTGTGGGTAATACAATCAAATGTGTAATGTTTAAAGTGTGCTTTATGTGGTTAGCTATGCTTTCATTCAAAAGGCTGCATTTATTTGATCAAAAATACAGTAAAACACTAATATTGTGAAATATTATTACAGTTTAAATAACGGATTTCTCTTTTCAGCATCATTACTCGTTTCCTTCAGAAACCATTCTAATATGCTGATATTCTGCTAAAAAAAAACATTTCTTAATATTATCAATGTTGAAAACAGCTGTGCTGCATAATATTTTTGTGGAATTTTCTTTTCAGGATTCTTTGATAAAGTTCAAAAGAGAATATACATCTTTTGTAACATTATAAATGTCTTTACTGTCAATTTTTATCAATTGAATGTGTCCATGCTGAATAAAAGTATTAATTTTTAAAAACGGTGGTGTATATATGAATATTGTTGATTTTATGTCAAAAACTGATTTATATAGATTGACATTTATAGTGTTAGCACTGTGCTACATAGTTATACAGCAGTTTCATCCAATTGAAAATCAAAAACTAGCTAAAATTGTAAAATACCCATAATCAGTGTTTTCTGAAAGGTAGTTTGACCCATTGACCCTTTAAATCGTAATTCATTACAGTAATTTAAGGAGATCATATTGTATTCTATTTTATGCCATCTTTTATAGAAATAACATGATGACTTTCTTAAGCAGTCAAGCCCATTTCCTTCGGAGTCTCGATCCTGTCAGTGGACGACATCTTGCGGAAGAAACGGTGTCCTTGATCATCGCAGTTATCGAAAACAAACCCCGGTGGTGACTCGAAACTGGCCGGACACATGCTGATCCTCTTGGGCGTGAACTCCGTGCGGTACATGGTCTCATTCTGTTGGGGAACATCAGTCCGCAGTGGTGCATTTTGGGGCTTGAAGCTGAGACTAGGCTGGGCTTCATGCTGGACAAAATGGGCCCTGAAGGTTGTCATATCTTCCATTTTCCCACTGGCTCGCTGGATTTCCTCTGGCTTCCGGATCAAGCCTTGACGTTGCGCCACCCACGGCTGGAAGTCGTCCTTCATGGTGGTGTTGCCCTGGAAGGGCCTGGAAGACTTAATGGGAAGAGAGAAAGGTTTGGCGGAAAGGAAGGGTTGGATTTGGTGCTCGATGTAGTCGGTGTGCGAGGTGGTTGTCAGGTCCATGTGTGCCGTGGGACTGGTGTACTCCACCGATTTCTGCACCTGCCGGAAGGAGACGGGCCACTGCTGGAAATGGTCCCGGAATTCTGTGCTGCTCTGGAAGGGCTTGCTGGAGGTCACTTTGAGCGGCACGGGCTTGCAGCTTTTGGGCAGCTGACTCGGCAGGCCTTGGAAGTCCTGTCGGTGGGTAGTGAGGTCCTGGAAAGGACCATTGCTGGGTTTGTACTCATCTGGCGGTTTAACGTAACGGGCTTCTAGAGCGTGTGGTACATATGAGAGCTTGTTGCTGGTCAGGTTTTCAAAAGGAGCATCGGATAGCTTGGCTTTGTTTGAGGGCTTGAAGCTCTCACGTGGCGCGAGGCCTCGGTGGACGAAATCATCCTGGAATGTGGTGGAATTCCCAAACTTTGCAGTAGGAGGTTGATACGTTGTGTCAGGCTTAGTTAATTCCCGTCTGCTGATCTCCCACGGACGAAAATCGTCTTTAAAAACATCATACAAAACGTTTAACAAACAAAGGCACTTAAGACACTTTCACACCAAGGACGATAACTTTAAAGATAAAGATAAAGTTGTAAAAATCATTCTCAATATTAAAGAATAGCAGACTACAGCTGTTATGATAATGGCACAGAGAAACAATATCGTTGGAATCTAGCTATGAACGATAAAAACATTGACAGCCAATCAGAATCCATCCTGCTGTAATGAGCTTGAGCCTAAAGTGGCAGACAAGTATGCGTTTAGAATAAACAGAACAATATCGTTATCTTAATAGTTATCGTTTTTGGTGTGAATGGGCCTTTAGTATAATAACTACATTTTTCTGCATTTCACTTGTGTACTAGTCTAGCTTTTACTGTACTGTGTACTGCAAATATTTTTTGCTTTTTATGATACAGTACCAATCACAAGCTTGGGCCAGTAAGATTTTTTTTTTTTTTTTTTTTACAAGTCACATGATCCTTCAGAAATCATATTATGCTGTTTTGGCGCTTCTTATTATCAGTGTAGAAAACCGTTGTGATGCTTCTTTCATGATTCTTTTATGAATAGAAAGTTCAAAAGAATAGCATTTATTTGAAATATTTTGTAACATAAATGTCTTTACTGTCACTTCTGATTAATTTAATGCATCACAACTGAATCATTTAATAAGTATTATTATTATAAATGAATAAGCTGAATTAAATCTTACTGACTGCAATCTTTTGAAAGGACGGGTAAATTGTTTGTCATGTTCCTTATAAGTTGCTCTATATAAAAAGTGTCTGCTACATCAATACATTTACTTTTAAATAGTTGATTTAACAGCAGATAGATGAGGTTGCTTCATAAATGCTCCAGTTGTTCAGTATGTATTCTGAAACTGTATGCTCAGAAAGCATCACATGACCTAAAGTGTCATTACCTTTATAGGTGGGTATGGTGACCGGTTGTGCATTCATGGGATGTGCTCTCGCTTTAGGGCGTGAAGGAACAAATGGTTGTACTTCATACGGGTAGAAGTCTTGTGTATAGGTAGTTCCTAAGTCGATCTCTCCAGGCTTGGGCTTGTACTCGGCCTGCTGCCTCCCAGGGCGACGGGTGACCGGATATGGGATATAGTCCATCCTGAGAAAACAGAAGAAAGAAAAAAGGTGTTTTAGGAAACATATAGAAGGAGAAGCCACTTTGATTGATCCAGTTAATTGTTCATGTATAAAACTGTAAATTATTCGACTAAAGATTAGCCATGAATAATCACACTAATTGACAATGCAAACAACATCTTTACTGTAAGTTCATTTTTAATGCAAATTGTTTAAGTACTCCCCAGTGACTCATGTAATTATTATTTCAGTCCCCGAATGTAACGTTACCTGAAGGTCGTTGTTCCGTCCATCGTGTCCTGATGAGCTTTATACTGCAGTTGGGGCTTGAGGCTCTTGGGACGAGTGTGACCTTTATAGGCAGGATACTTCTCCGAGTACTCTGACAACACATTGGTCTGACTCGCTTTCTTGTAAAGTGCCGTGGGCTGGTGTGTGCAACGGTGACGGCTGAAGGTAATGGAGAAACATTTTAGGCAGAGGGCCTTTGTTTAAAAACAATTGATGCTTCTGAGAAGACATAAACTCATTAATATGTCTTTCACCTCAAGATTCTTCTCAGTACCTGCAGTACCTGAACATGTTTGTGTAGTCCAGGGCAACTAACTTATACAACAAACTCTGTCACTAACTCTGTAGCTAAAGCCTTAATACCACACACACACACACACACACACACACACACACACACACACACACACACACACACACACACACACACACACACACACACACACACACACACACACACACACACACACACACACACACACACAAATAAGTTACACACTTGTTTCCTCCATATTATGCTCTTTGCACTGCCAATGTATTCAAGACGCATTTTACAGTGCTTCAAAAAGAAAAAAGATTAACGTTAACGTTACTTTAAATTAAGTACCTGATATTGTCTTCACGAATTCCCAATAATTATGCAATGATTTAAAAAGGAAAACACAAAACAATAAAATAAATAATAACGTTTAAATTAAATTTAAATATAATAATTTAAATGTTAAAGTATTTGCACTTTTCTGTCATTCAAGATTAGTTTGTTCCATTGCTTGATATTCCTTCTAATTTAGCAGCTACCATGTAAGTTAACGTTAAAGTCACACATTAATTATTCAAAATACCTTCTCGGGCTTCAAAAATTACAACAGACACTAACCAATAAACAAACACTAACAAGTATACTCTTACCCACAACTGCACATCTTACAGATACAGAGACGAGTCATTTTCGTAGAGTTATTGAGGAAAAAGACGACTTTTTTCCTGACTCGCTGCTTTCCTGACAGTGACGCTGCAGTGTAAAGCGTCCCGTTTCCCCGGCAACTACTGTTTGCAGCGTCCTGGTGATGACGCAGCGTAACGTATTACGTATGACGCGTGCGACGGTCAGCTTTGTGCTTCCTGGACTGGAGGAAACATGTGAGTATCTGTTGTCATTTCATATATTCAATAAGTTAATTTAGTTAATGGACCGTTTAATATCCGTTGCATTTTTACTGGTATTCGTTGTTATATATGTTTGCGATGAATATTCAGTTTGTTGTTTGTTGCCAGTCAGTCTTGAATAGACGTAGTTTTGAAAAGTTGCACCTGCTTGTGTCAAATGAGTCTCTGAATGAGTGAATCTGAAGAATAATGTGTTGAAATCTTCCAGTTGTCACCAACACACTCACACACACGTTTGGAACGACCGTTTGGAAAGAACGACGTTTGGCAATTACAATACACATCCTTTGTTTATACAATAGGTAAATGTTTTGGACACACTTGAAAATTGTCGTAGATTAAAAAAAAAAGTCAAACCAAGAAGCATTTAAAAAAGACAGACAGAACATCTCGAAAAATGACTTTTTTTAGGTTTTGAAATGATGAAACCGATTAACATACTAATCTAAATGAATTATCTGATGCTGCTGTCAGGTCTTTAAGATAGTTTTTAACTATTCAGAATTAGAATGTGATATTGTGTCCAGACCATCACTTTTTTTTTATGACAACATAAATTCAAGATAGTTGATGAAAGTGGTGAAGCATTATATCTAGAACGTCTTTTATTCCAGTATATCCAAACAGTTTAAAACATTTATTAATAGAATAAAACCGAAGGGATCAGATCTGTGGTTACTGTACTGAGAACAGCATTTGTTTGAAGTGACTTAAGTGTTTTTGGGGTTGCTGTTAATGTATTTGTACTAAACGTGATCTTCATGTTTTGCACTTCATCTTCATAGAAAGTCAAAAATGGGTCTCACAAGTTTGGAGAAGATAATCGCACTGCAGAAGAAAACGTCACAGATCAGAAATCTGTGTATTCTTGCTCATGTAGATCACGGTGAGTGTAAAGTATGCTGATGTGTGTCAGATCTTTGTTTTTATTAACGGTCAAGCGTCTACCTATCTTACCTCAAACTTAAAACTTTGTGTTTGTAAATGTGTGTTCCCCATAGGAAAGACGACATTAGCCGACTGTCTTGTGGCGAGTAATGGTATTATATCCAGTCGTTTAGCAGGAAAGGTAAGTGGACCTAAAGCAAAATTATCAGTGATTAGACCACACAATAACTAATACTTTTCCCCAACATATTTGTGTTTTTCAAAATACAATACAAATTATTACAATAAATCTCTGACAATGAGAAGAATGTAAAAAAAAAAAAAAACACTTTCCTTATTTGAAATAAAGTATAAATAAAATAAAATGTAAATATTAGATGAAAAACTTCATTTCAATTTTGAAATAAACGTAATAAGAAATTGGTTGAATTTGAAATACTCAAATTACTAGTTTTAGTTTAAGGTTAGTCTCAAATTTATTTGTCATGTGTACAGATGTCAGTGACAATTTGTACAACTGAAATGCTTAGAGTGAGGCTATTCTTCAGCAGTGCAATATAATACAATACAATACAATACAATACAAAAACAACAATAAATTAAGGAAGTATTTACAGTAAAGTATGTATATATATATATATATATATATATATATATACGTGCATGTATGTATATGTTTGTTTTGTATGTTAAATAATAGTAAGTAAACTAATAAAAATTACAAAAGCACATAAAAAATTACTAAAACATTAACTGAACTGAAAATTAAAGCTATATAAAAATAAAAGTTAATTTAAATTAATATTATTAGATACTATTTTATAAAGATAGAATGACACATATACACAGTACACACACACACACACACACACACACTAAAATGACACGTCATATAAAGATATAGGTTTCACTAACCTCACAAATTTGCCACAAGTTTTAACTAATTTTAAGTCAAATATCATAATCTGCAGTTGAGTGAGTCAGTCATCTGACTTGATACAGACTAATTACTCCTGTAAGCCATTCAGACTGGCAAAATCATTAAAAATAATAATGCAATTTTTTTTCATGTAGTCCGCCTTTCTCTGACTTTTTTTTTTAACACAAACAGTAGGCCTAACTCCAACCATAATCGTTAACTACCCATAAAATCAGAAGGAAATAATTGGATACCTAATAAATAAATAAAAAGTTAAATATAAAAAAAAAAGAATGATCTGAAATGCCGTTTTCTGTCTGTTTCTGTAGCTGAGATATCTGGACAGCAGGGAGGATGAGCAGATCAGAGGAATCACAATGAAGTCCAGTGCTATTTCATTACATTGTACAACAGGTAATGCCATCGCGGTCTGTAGCTTTCCTGATTCAACACCATGTATGGCTGTAACATACGTTCAAGACCTATATCTTTGTCACCTCAGGAGGAAATGATTACCTCATTAATCTGATCGACTCTCCTGGTCATGTGGACTTCTCCTCGGAGGTGTCCACTGCCGTCAGACTGTGTGATGGGGCCATTGTTGTTGTTGATGCTGTCGAGGGAGTGTGTCCGCAGGTATAATCCATGACTTGAGTGTGTGTTCATTTTTCAATATTCACTGTAGAAGTTATATTGCGTTTTAATCCGACTGTGTAGAAATTACACACTGTTATGCACTTTTTATTTGGTCAATAATTTCATGTAATTGCATCTCTGATTACAACTTCAGTACCAAAAACAGGGTTGGTTATGTCCTTGTTGTATATATACAAATATATAGTGATTTTTACAGTTTTATTTCTTGAATTTTGAATCTGGTTGTCAACAATAGCTGTGTTGTGAAAAAGATGTCTCGGATCTTTAGGCTCTACACCACACCATCCTGTAACAGCATCTCGTTCTTTTCTGCTTTAGACACAAGTTGTTTTACGACAAGCTTGGCTGGAGAATATTCGTCCTGTTCTTGTCATCAACAAAATTGACCGGCTGATTGTGGAGCTGAAACTCACTTCACAGGAGGCGTACGCTCACCTGCAGAAAATACTAGAGCAGGTGAGTCAGAGCTCCAAAACATGGCTGAAGCTCTGGAACACACAATCGAAAATATGGATTTTGAAGGAGTCATGTCATGCTTTTATGACATTTTATTTCGTTTATAAGGTCAACTTGTACTGTATCAAATGTAAATTGTACTTATACAGTAAAAATGTTTCAAAATGTTTTCTTGTATTTTTTTTAAATATATTCTTTATTTTTTATATAATTTATATAACGTCCGTAAGTAAGATTTTCTTTCTTTCTTCATTTTTTTACACATACTTTGCTGATACATTTTGTTTTTACTGCAAGGACACATCAAATTGATCAAAACGGACAGTAAAGACATTTATAATCTTAAAAAGATTTATATTTACAATAGGGCTGCTCCCTAATAGTCGACTAATCTTTAGCTCTAATGTTAACCTAGATAACCTAGTGCGCTATTATTAGGCTCATATCCAAGTGTTTGCGCGGAGTGTAGAAGATAAAGTATTGCATGATTACATGGCATGGAGGCACTGGCGCGATCACTTGTATTTTTTCCCGATAACAGCGGAAACAACTTTAAATACTCCTTCATTTTTGGTCATACAGATTAGACTAATTCGAAACTGTAAAGGGTCTACTTTTATTTGTGTATGCTCACAATAACAACAAAATGTTTTGCTTTTGTAAAAACCAAAAAAACAAAAACAGGATGCGCTTTCTGCCGTCTCGGTCTCTGTGAACTGGTGCATGTCACAAAAACTGAACAGAAATATATCTATAGAAAGCTTGAAATTTCTTCTTTTAAACGAACCAATTCAAATATTCTCTGATTATGTAATCTCTCTAAAGGCATGTCCACTATAGGCTACTGCGGAGATGGCGAGTCAGCATCGTCAGCTTCATCTTTGCAGCCGACTGACTCAGAAAACACTAATCAAAATGTCTCATTGCTATTTTTTCCGACACATTCATAATCATTCATTTTGATTGTGCTTTGTGGCAAGCTTTATGTGTGCGCTTCAGCTCGGAATACGGTGATTTCACGCAGCTGCCATTTTGAAATCGCTCCGGTGGGAAGAAAACCGGAAGTGTCACCTTTAATCATAGGAGAGATGCGAATGCGATGGCGTATTGTTGTGTTTAATGTAGAAATTAGTTATTTTAAAAATGTACATACATTTCTTTCATACTTTAAACTTCAACAGTGAAATTCATTTATAAATAAAATTATATTTTTATATATAATTCAGAACGTAAAAAAAGAAGCAGGAACAAACTATATACATATTGGATATTAACATCCAATCGCGGCAGCAGCTTCAGGTTGGTACTCCAAGGCATTGTTGTCTATCTGTACTTCCGGGGTTCTTCCGACCGGAGCCTCGCTTTCGATTTCAAAATGGCGGCTGCGTGAAATCAGCGTATAGGCTATATATTACGCCTATATATATATTAAAGTTTCAATACGGTTTAATATTCCCCCCATACTGTATTTAAGTCATTACATTCATATAAACATGTGATTAGTCGACCGGTGGCTTAAATGAACGACTCCTAGTTCACTTGAAAAATCTTTAGTCAGAGGCAGCCCTAATTTACAATAAATTCTGTTCTGTTTATCAAGGAATTCTGGAAAATAATGCATCACAGAATGCATCACCACAAAAATATAGTTTTTTAACACTTTGATAATAATAAGAAAAGTTTATTAGAATGGTTTCTGAAAGATCATGTGTCAGTTTTGCATTCACATGAATAAAGTATATTTAATACATTTTAAATATAAGCAATTAAAACATTTTTGGCTTTAAATTTACTCTATGGCTATAAATATTTGGTTCTGCCTATTTTATAGGTGAACGCAGTTACCGGCACGTTATTCACCTCTAAAGTCCTGGAGGAGAGAGCAGAGAAAAACGCAG